TTTTTCTGATTTTTGAAAAAGGTATGAAGCAGAAGAAGAACAGGTGAGGAAGAGGAAAAAAGGTGGAGAGTGAAGAGAAAAGGCCATGGAGGTGAAGAGGAAAGGAGGGGGGGTGGAGGCTTTATATAGACAGAAGGGATATGTGAGGGATCTGATATACTGAGAAATAAGTATTTGTATTACAGATAAAAATTACCTGATAGGGTATAGGTTTTAGGGGTTATTACTAAATTCTCACCTTTTGTGCCATGGTTCTTCCTTTTATTTTTCTCTAATTAATTATCTTTTCTTTCATTTTCATTAATTTATTCCCTATATTTTCTTTATTTATTGCTTCCTCCAGGTATTTTGTTATTGTTCACATTTTCTTATATTTATGGTCAAGGTCTTTAATTCTACAATTTCTTTTCTTTCTTTGTCTTGTTTCCTAATTTCAATCTTGAATGTTTTATTTCCCTTCTATCAGTATTTGATTTAATCTTTCATCTTATTCATTACATTTAGGTTTTGTTCTTATTTTTTATATTCTTTGCATAGCATGAGTGATTGAAAATATACTGCAAAGTACAGTTGATCATGGTTTGACAGTCCCAGAAGTACAGGATGGTGCAGAGTTGATCATGGTTTGACAGTTTCAGATATTCAGTCCACAGCACATGTGAGCATGTGCGCGTCCGATCAGATTGCGCAAAGCTCGGCGCACAATCAGATAAACTGCGCAGTACATAGAGACAACCCCACAAACCCTCCTCACATGGGCGGAAAAGAAAAAGAAAAAAAAGCCCATCATAAGGGCTCACTCGTCCTCCTCCCCAAGCGCGCGATATGTCATACGGTATGATATAATACGGTACGGATGTATCATACTGTACGAGTACCGTTATGATCATTACCGTAACCAACCGAACAAAAAACCAACACTTTTGATCAGTCGTGACGAGCTGCCTGCTGTTTCGATGGGTAACTTTGGTCGGATCGTGGTGCTATACGAGTAATCTATTACATGCGTACACAGACACACAGGCACACGCGCACACACACACATACAGTATTTGAATACGGTACGGTTACGGTATGTGTATGGTACGCACGTTCTCACATCCGCGCCAGCCTAATCTGCGCGGGAGCACAGGGCTGGCTGGTGGGTGTCATATCATGGGGCGAGGCGGTAAGGTTACCGTTGTCCGACCTACCGTATGATGTGGTGTGGTGGGCTGGAGGGAGGGAGGAGGATGAGGTTGTGGAATTACGATAGGTGACGGTGAGTTATCTATCACCTGTGAGGGCTTTTTTTTTCTTCTTCGGTTTTCGGTCTGGGGTGGGGTGTTTGTGTGGTTGGGAGTCTACGAGTACTTGTACTTGGGTACGGTATTTTGTTCAGCCCTATGCATGAGGGGCTTGGCGGGCATGGGGTATCACTCGGGAGTGGGGATTTCCAGAGGGGGTGGTGTGTGGAGGTTGGGCTATGATATTGCGCAGAACCTGTTGCCCAATGCGAGTGCGCCCGCTGAGGAAGGATGCCTGTAACTGGCGTGCCAGTAATTATGTATTTGTATATCGTGGCTACTCAACGGCCTCGGCTCGCCATCTATTGCCCGATCCATCAATCCATCTGCTTCGATGGATGGGCCTCGTAATGTATATGGAGAGAGAAAGAAAGAAGAAATAAGCGCCTTGGCTCCTGTCCCCCCCACACCCCCGCCTACGAATCCCATTCAAGAGAAAAGGGAGAAAAGAAACCCCCGACCACAATTGTGCAAAAATTCTGTAGCAAAAGAGAGATATAGACAATCGCTATTTTGTTTGTTCCCACCAACCGACCTTTCAATTGACCCTGAACACCATCGCCAAAATAGCACACAAGATGAAGAGAGAAGAAATATATATATATATAAGAAGGGACATAGTACAGGTTTGTTTGTGAGGGTAAAAAGGACCGAAATGAGAAAAAAAGCAGAACTTTTGTGGGTTTTTTTTTTTTAAAAAAAATACCCGGATTTGTCCAAAACGTGACCTAGAAAAAAGGAATAAGGAAAAAAAAGAAAAGAGAAGAATGAACAGCAGAACGACACCGACCTCCAACCCGAGGAACGAAATTTTTTTTTGGAGAAAAGGAAGGAGGAAAGAAAACTATGGACTGGAATTTGAAAAGGGAGAAAATAATAAGAAGGGCGAGGAAGGGGTGGAAGGGGTGGAGAAGAGGACTGGTATTACACTAAGTGAATCTGCTAAAGTCCATGCTCATTAGCAGATCCTCTGTTTCGGATTGATCTGCGTCACCGTTCACCTGGACCGAATTTCTGTAACTATGATCCGAGGCCGAGGTCTGCGCACTCATCGTTGAAACACGCCTTGATGCCGGGGTGGCCGAGTTCTGGCTGGGGCTGGCTGTTCCACCAATTGGTCCGCCATTTCCGCCCAATCCCTGGGACATGGCGGAGGTCCTTTCTCTCAATTTGGTGATGCTTCTCAGACGATGCCTCCAATTGGAAATATGTTCTCCGCCGCCTTCGTTGTAGACGTGTGAGTAGACGCTTGTGTTGAGCGCGAGATTGCGAACGAACGCCGGGAGCGATGTATCCGAGACGATTTTGGGCTCCTGGGCGGGACTAATTTCCGAAAACCCTTCCTTGCACACTATCTGAACCCTATAAAATGTCCTATCATCGGACCCCTTCTTCAGCAGACGTGATGATACAAACCCCGAGCGCGCCTCAGGTGTGATGATTATGCTAACAAAGTTGAATTGGCTGGGTACCGTTCCGAACCTCCAGGGGAGCCCCGAGTTGTTGAAGACAATGTTGACAAAATCGTTGCCGATGTGTCGCTTTTTCATGGTGCACTGAGGGTCGCCGTCCATCATTGGCATCATTGTCGTGATATGAAAGATGACTTGTGTAATCCGGTCGCTCCAGAAGTAAGCAAACTCGCCATCGGAGTTGTTCTCGCGATCCAGGCCTCCGGTATTGATATCCGTACCCTTTAGAGCAATTAGATCGCCGAGACCGTCAATAAAATCGGTGTAGTCAGGGGAGCCCATGGCATTCGAGAGAATGTCTTTCTCCTCCGTCTGACCGGGGCCGACATAAACAACTCCAATCTTGTGGAAGTCCACAACCGGTATTCTGTCGAAAACGTCTAACGCCCGGAGAGTCTTTTCGTCCTCTGGAAGCAGGATAGGCCTGGTTTCTGATGGCCCGAGGCCCCCAGCTATTTGTAGAAGGAAATGACTTGGGAGGACCCGATCTTGCTTTTTCTCTACACCAGTGGCCGCGTCGGCGAGACTGTCAACGTCCTCAGGAATGTTGGCCCATTTTGACTGCAGCATACTGTGCAAGTCTCTGGATTCGGGTTTCAGGGTGTAATAACTGGTGCCGGACTACAAACAGAGCGTTAGGGGAAAGGTTTATACTGTGGTGCCAAGGAATTGAAAGACTTACTGCTCGTCTAACGACAACCCTTGAGATGCCGGAATCTGGGGCTGTCTGTATAGAGAGGATGGAAGAGCTGTGCAACCAATTTTTTGTTACTATTCCTGATGTTTGGGTGTCAATCTTATTTGGAGGCTTCAAGTCAATGTCCGAGAAGGTAAACCTTTGTAGCATATCAATACAGGTCTGGCTCTGTTCATCGACGGTGTTTGATTGATCGTGTAAGACGAGACCCCGCGTGATCCAGGACACGTATTTTGGCCGTTCAGACAATCGCAGCGAAAGAAACCAAGTTGTTAGGACGTTGTAGGCTAATGTGAGGACGTATTGGGGTAGGTCGGGCTGTTCGGCTTGGGCGTTGGGGTCGACAGTGTTTGCTTGGCCTTGGCCGGGGCGGCTGGCAAAAGCTGGTTTACCATGCTGGTGCTGGGCTGTTGTTTCTTTCGTATGCTGGATATATCGGAAGGCGATACCAAAAATATTTCGGAAATCGGGTTCAGTGAAATTGCTATAGAGTTTTGGTAATTTGGCTAGTGCGGAGAGGAACTCGAGGATATGTACACTGACTGCGGAAGATGTGATAATCTGCGAGAGCTTGGTCAAAATCCCGGGTAAGAATTTGCTTGTTGAACCTGGAAGCTCATAGCAACATATTGACAATGCATGTATACATGGCCTAGCTGTCCTCTGCCATGAGTGCAATCCCAACTGAAATGCCTTCACGATCCCCTCGGTTTCGCCTTTCGCAAAGTGCTGTTTGTAGCTGATTAGGGTGGTAAGTAAATTTATGAGGACGACAGCAATATCAGCTTTCTTGACCTCGGGGGGAAGATCTGTGTTGGGTATTCGGTTGGTGTGTAACTGTTCACACACAATACTGCGCAGCATGTTAATATGCGCCTTGCAATTCCTAAATGCAGTCCTATTCGACAATTGCGAACTGAGGTGAATGAGAACGTAGCTGTAGATTTCCCAATCACAGCCCTGTTGTATAATCGGGATAACTTTCTCCATCCAGAGCGACATTCTGATACACAAGTGTGGGTCCAGGGACGGCCCTTCTCTCCTTGGAAAATCTGAAGGCGGATCATAGAAGGTGACAAGGACTGGGCTCGGAAGATACATGGATTTCTCAGGAAGGGCTTTAGTTTCCGGATATGACCAAATCTGAGGCATTCGCTTTGGGCGATCATATTTGTCATGTTTGTCGACGACAGAACGACTTGGGTTTCTGAAGAGGAATGGCGTTTGGGATACCGAGTTGCTCCTATTGGAGCGTGATGAAGACGACGACTCCTCGTCATATTTGGAAGCTATGGAGGCCGCCTCATCTGCAACTTTGCCCACTCGATGGAGCACTGAGGCTAAATGATCCGACTCCGGTTTTTCTACGATAAAAATGGCGTGCTCGGAATCAGCTCTCAGGCGAAATAGAAGCCTCATAGCTGCCAGTCGGGCGTTGGGGTCTAGATCGGCGGATCCGGAGATCCTCACAAGCTGCTCGTATACCAGCACTGCCTTGGCCGCATTGGTATTCATATTTTTAATGAATATCCTCACCAGGCCGCGAGCGACAATGCCGATTTGTGACCCTTGTTGCGGGCTCGTGGCCTTGGTTGCCGGGTATATTGATGATTTTGTGCTAGCTCCGCTTCCTTGTGGCGGTAGATCCGGCAGGCCCCCATCGAGTCCGATGTACTCGACAAGTAGGGCCAATAGTGTATTGAAGAGTTTCATACTGGTATCACTGGAAACATCCACCACTGTCTTGACCAATGCATCCAGCACCTCTGAATCCTTCTCGTTTTGAAAATCCTCAAAAACCGAAACGACCAGGGCGTGCAAAACCTCATCTTCACAAACATCTCTGATGGTCTCGTAGACATCTTTGATCAGGTGTAGGACGCTGATTCGCATGGAAGGGGGCCTGCTTCGTGTCCTGAAGAAAACGTTAAGCAACTGACGGCAGTTGTCTAGCCACTCTGCACAGGAGGGGTAGCAAAGGTGTTCTGTGGAATAATGGTTGATGACCAGTTCCGCTGCCGAATTCGGAAGATGCGAGTGGACCCTGATAAAGAAGCCGATCACCTCCTCTGTCTGCTCGAACTCGGGATTTAGACAGGCCATCTCTAGCAATGTAATGATCTGAATCAGAGCATGGGATATTGCTACACCCACGCCGTCGTTTTCATATGAATACGGTGGATCGTCGGGCTCAAGACTTTCACGCGCTGGCCCATGCGTCAGTCTTGTTGCCCGGTGAGAGCAGTGCACAAGAATGTTCAGAGGAACGGGCCATTCGTCAAAGGCAATCTCTGATGCTACGTGTTTACTGCTCAAGATGGCGGCAATGGCTCTGCTTATCTCCAACTCCAGGCGCATGCTGTCGGCAGAAAGGGCGGATTGAAAGGCGGACATGACAACAGTAAATTGAACCGAGGGAAGTCCGTCTGTCTCATTCGCTATCAAAAGCTTTTCTAAAAACCAAACAGCCCCCCTGAGGGTATTCGTGTTGCTGCTTCCTGGTGGATTCTTGGCAGGGGCCTCCAGGATCTCCCGTAAAACGAGTATGGAGTTATGGGCCATGTAGCTCTTGCAAAGATTACTGACAGCATTCCAAGTAGCATCGGTGAGGTCCCGCAGTGTGGCGTAGGCACCACATAATACTTCTATACAGGGTTTGAGCGCAGGGCGTGGAACATAACCGTAAGTTATGAGGGTTTCGATAAAGGCTATCGAGCATTCGATATCCTTCTTGCTGGTCGTCTTCCTGCAAATTGAGAGGACATCCGTGAGGAGCTGGTTTACCTCACGTTCCTCGAAAGATTTGAAGTTGAATTTGATAATGTCCGTTGTGAATTGAAAAAGTTCCTTTAAACAAAACTCCTCGCTTGAGAGAATCTCGCTAGTCGTCCTGTCCCGTTTGCGGGTTTGGCGTATGATGGTGGACTCTTTGAACCAAGTTCTCAGCCACCTGGATAACAAGCCTCCAATCTCCCTCTGAAATGTAGACAGCTCCCTCCCACCATTCGTGAGTGCGATCAACGCCTGCAACTGGTGAAAGAAGTCCTCCGGGCAGCTATGAAGAGCTATTGTCCTGTAGAGCTTGATCCGGTCAAGTGGTGATAGTTCATACTGCTTGATACAAGCGGTAAGAAGCTTGAAAGCTGCCTGTCGAGCTTCTGGGGGATTCCCCTCGTTGGCTAGGTCCTGCGCGTTCGTCCATATCTCGGTAGCCGCTGGAGCCGGATAATCCGCAACAGTCGTCCTTAGAGCTTCGGCCGCATTAACACGATCGGCCAGGGAATTGTTCGCCCTGAGTCTGTCTACCGAGACCTGCCGACCGGCGACTGTCCCCCCGTTAAATTTTTCTCCATGTAGGCTGGGTCGACCGCCGTTGCTCGGGGGTGCCGCTGGGGTCGCCGGAACTGGGTTGGGAGGGCCCCGGTTTAATCTTCCGAGCGATCGGAACACGCCGGCGATGCCCAAAGGCGCCTTGGTAGAGTCCTGAAGCTGAGGTGGGTCGGTAGAGCCTGGGGTTGAAGGCATTTACGTGGCTGTTAAGAGCGGTTAGCTTTGCTGGTGTCCATCGAGAAGTGGGAGAATGGGAAGCATAAGAGGTTTGAAGAAATTTTAACCCTAAGAGAAGCTGATTGGGACGGAGAGATAGGGAAAAAAGAAAAAAGAAAAAGAAAGGCTGACCAAAGCGTACAAGGTCACATGACCGCGAATGCAGTGCTGGAAATGAAAGAAATGGTAAACAGCTAACCTTTGGCCCAAAATACTCGGGTGAGCGAGTGCTTCGCAGAACGAAGCGCGGAAGGGTGAGAGCACCACTCGCAAGACAGGCAAGATGGAAGGGGTTTGGATATCGACACAATCCGGAGGTTTGAGTAGAGGTTGTGAATAGATGAATATGTGGAGTCGGTCATATAAACTTTAGGGCATGGACAGAAGAGATGTGTGATGACGATGGAGGGGTTGAGGAAGTACCGGTAGGTGAAAGGAGGGGCAGGAAAGGGGTGTGGAAATCTGGGCAACGTAGCACGGTAAGGTATGTAGTGGTAACTTCGGAAGGAAGCTGGCTGGATATGGGGGGAGAAGAGGACGGAGGATATGATAGGATAGAGTGAGAGTGGTTTTCCTTTTTCCTTTTTCCCTTTTTTTTCTTTTCCTTTTTATTCTTTTTTCCTCTTCTCTGTTTTCGCCTCTTGTTTTTTTTTTTTTTTNTTTTTTTTACTCTCTTCAAAAGCGTCTGGTTTTCTGAGTTGCTGTGTCCTTGAAGGATTGGGGATGGGCAGCAGACAGGAGATGGGAGAATAACCAGGGACCAACTCAAGAGATGCAGAGGCGTGCGTTAAAGCGCAGGACGGGGATGGGTGTGGCTTTTTGTAATGGGAATGAGTGTCCTGCAACCTTTTTTTTTTTCTTCCCCTCCTCTCGGCCTCTGGTGTGATTGGAAGCGAACACCGGTACTCGAGTACTTCTTGGGCCTGGGTGTTTTGGCCCTGTGCCAATACGGTACGTGCACTCATACAGGCATACTCGTACAGTGCTCGAGTACTGTGTTTGTGCCCGTACTGTATGGTCACTGTGGTGATGGTGGCAATCAAATTCAGTAAATTGCTGGTGATGATGGTGATAGTGGTGGGGGACCACCGTCACCCATGAAGGGTGGGATTGTTTTTCTCCCCCTTTATTTAATCGTGGGGCATTGTATCGTGCGAGTGCTGGATAAGAGGTAAAGGGGCACCAAAGCTATAGTCTAGTGGGAAGACTGACATTGAAGGTTTATAGGGCCTGAATGCGGTAAGTATCATACCTAACATTATCATGACATTGTATATGGCATAATAGTTATTATATCATATTCAGCACGAGTGCCTGTGGGTAAGTAGTGTGGGGTCCCCCGATGACGATGTCGGTTGATTCAATTGTGCGGTTAGGGCCAATTGCTGTGCTGTGGGAGAAAAAAAAAATCACGCGGGATGGTGCGTGCCTTTATGTGCTCTTCTTGCGGGTTGTTGCAAGACAATGGCTCTTATTGACCTATTATACCCTTCTGATACCTGCTATTCTCGGGACCGCAGGAGCCTGGGTCGATTATTTGACTTTTTTCCCCCCTCCGAGGGGTGGGGGAGGCTCGTTGCTTGGCCTGTGTTTGGTCGCTCCAGCCCTCCGGCATCATTTGTTTTTGTGCACGTCTTCCCTTTCCACTCCCCCCCCCCCCCCCCCAACTATTTACATCTGTTTTCTGCTCTCCTCAAATTTCATCTTGCGCTAAACTTTTATCTCTCCAAAATCCTTTACCCCTGAAGCTATGGCTGCGAATATTCAGACTCTCGCTCAGCTTCTGGACACCTCATTGATACCTTCCCAGAACAAACAAGGTACGGTGGATCCATTGCAATTCGATCTTGTTGCGGGGTTGTCGGCTGCGATACAGAGCCTCGATCAACTTGTCCCCCCTGGAACGGAACGGGAGCTGACATGCTAATTTTTTTTTGTGTAGCTGAAAGCTCTCTGCGAGCCGGTGAAAATCAGGAGGGATTTGCTCCTCTGCTGTTACAGATCGTTGCGTCGGATAGCTTTGCCTCGAATACTCGTTTAGCGGCTGCTCTGTACTTCAAAAACTTACTTGGGAGGAATTGGACTGTGGGTTCCCCGGTCTTTGAATTATGGGGAGACCCTGGTATTAAATATTTCTGCATATAGGATGAGGAGGGTCATTACAAGATGGCGGAGACTGAGGTTGTGGCGGTCAAACAAGATTTGGTTGGGCTTATGATCACTGTTCCGCCGGCCTTGCAAGTTCAGCTTGGAGAGGCTATCAGCATCATTGCGGAGAGCGATTTTTGGCAACGCTGGGAAACATTAATTGATGTTTGATTCCTTACTTACTCTGCTCCTCTTGGGCTCAAAACTTATGGCGGTGCTAGGATCTTGTGTCCAAACTCACCCCCGACAATGCTCAAGTCAACAACGGTGTTCTTCAGGTGGCGCATGCGATTTTCAAACGTTGGAGGCCACTTTTCCGTTCCGATGACTTGTTCACCGAAATCAATCATGTCCTTCGGAAATTCACAGCTCCCTTTCTGAAACTGATGGAGGTGGGTTGATTTATTGTGCAACTTGGGTTGAATAGCTTTCTTACGGTTTTCCAGGCTACCGACCAGCAAATAACACAAGCTCAAGATAATAAACCTGCCTTGGATGGATATTTCCAAACGCTCAACCTTATTATAAAGATTTCATTTGATCTTAACTGCCAGGATCTTGCGCCGGATTTTGAGGAGAATCTCGCGACAATTATGGGATTGCTGCACAAGTATCTTACTTTCACCAATCCCCTTCTTGTGACCGGTGACGATGACGAATCGGGCCCGTTGGAGCGAGTCAAGGCTGGAATATGTGAATTCCTCCAGCTCTTTACCACTAAGTATGAGGATGTATTTGACGAGATGCTCCAAAATTTTGTTAACTCGACATGGATGTTATTAACCACCACTGGGCCCGAGCCGAAATATGACATTGTGAGTATATCAAATTCGCCTCTCTGTCTCGGGAAAGAACAACAAATTACCAAGGCCGTTCATGCTCACGTTGGTCGGATCATCTAGTTGGTCAGTAAGGCCTTGCAATTCTTGACGGCTGTAGCAAGGTCGGGTAAGCACGCTCAAAACTTTAGCACGGTGACGGTGTTGGAGCAAGTTGTTGAAAAGATAATCCTACCTAATATGACTTTACGGGGTTCGTTTACTCCTCTGCGAAGTTGTTTTTTTGTTTTGATTGTTCTCTGAGATTGACTCTGCTATAGCTTCTGATGAGGAATTGTTTGAGGATGACCCAATCGAGTTTATTCGAAGGGATCTTGAAGGCTCTGATAGTGATACTCGCAGAAGGGCCGCTACGGACTTTCTTCGTCAACTCCTCGAGCAGTTTGACAAAACTGTCACTGAAGTTGTTTACAAATATATCAACCATTACCTGCAGGACTACAGTAGTAACCCCAAAGCAAACTGGAGATCGAAGGACACTGCCTTGTACTTGTTCTCGTCTATCGCTGCGAAGGGCACAACCGAGAGAAAGGGGGTTACACATACTAATCTCCTTGTGGATGTCGTAGAATTCTTCCAGAGTCATATCGCAGCGGATCTTATTGCCCCGTTTGAAGATGTGCAGCCTATTCTGAAGGTTGATGCGATAAAGTATCTCTACACCTTCCGCAGCCAATTGACTAAGTCTCAACTTTCCGATGCTTTCCCGCTTCTCGCTAGGCACTTTGGATCTCCAAATTATGTTGTCTACAGCTATACTGCGATTACTGTTGAGCGCTTGCTGGCGATGACTTCTGATGGGGAGCCGTTGTTTCACCCTGATGACTTGAGACCTTACGCAAGGGACCTCTTTGAGAACCTCTTTAGGTTGATCGAACAAGCCGTCACTCCCGAGAAGATTCAGGAGAATGAATATCTGATGCGCTGTGTAATGCGGGTTATTATCGTTGCTAGGGATACTACCGGATCATTGGTGGAATACGTTCTGGGAGAGCTTATCAAGATAACGGGCGTAGTTAGTAAGAATCCCAGTAACCCAAGGTTTATCCACTATCACTTCGAGAGTCTTGGTGGGATAATTAGGTGTTTCCCTATCCTTCTCCCGAGCGCTGTTGGTGGGGTTTTAGCTGATTTTCTTAGATTTGTTGCGCCTGGACAACCGGAAAGCCTCGAAAATGCCCTTCATGATCCTTTTATGGCTGTTTTGGGCCAAGATGTTACGGGTGCGCCTCGCCGACCTGATGCTCATCTTCTTTGCTAACCTTTGGCTAGAGTTCATCCCCTACGTATTCCAGCTACTTGCCCTGCTCCTGGAAAGTGATGCTCCTGCCCCTCTGCCCCGACGCTATAAGGATCTTATGACCCCACTCCTCACACCAGCCCTCTGGGAATCCCGAGGAAATGTCCCGGCTCTTGTCCGTTTGCTCCAGGCTATAATGGCTCGAGGAGCGTCCCATTTCGTGGAAAACAATCAGCTATCGGCAATCCTTGGTATTTTTCAGAAGCTGGTAGCCTCAAAACTGACCGAAGTACATGCTTTTGAGCTGCTGGAAGCATGTTTCATTTATTTCCCGCTGTACGCACCAATTAGCACTTGGCCCCTGGTTTTGTCTAACATTTGTATTTAGGAGCACCTTACAGCCCTTTGTCAAGGATATTTTTATCATTCTACTCACTAGGTTAAATGGCTCAAAAACAGACGCTTTGTCCCAAAGGTTTGCTAGGTTTTTTTATTTTCTCGCTGCGAGAGATAAGGATGGTACCGGGCCCGATTTCGTTGTAGGAACTATTGATGCCGTGCAAGCAGGGTGAGTGAAGAATTTGCCAAAGATATATTCGCCCCCCCACCCGCTGATACATGTTGGGTATAGCATCTTCGGCCAACTTTATGGCGCTGTCGTTCTACCTGATACACAAAAATTACAACGACCGGCTGATCGAAAGATTGCTGTTGTTGGTTTGACAAAGCTCGTTGCCTTCTCAGGAGGTCTGGCTGCTGAATATCACAAAACATGGCCTGGTTCAGTCGTCGCTTTATTAAAACTGCTCGAGGTGCCACCGGTACCCGCCCAAGACGATGGAGGGGTCGACCTCCACGAAGCTGATATTGATGATTTAAGCTTTGGCGCAACCTTTACTAGGCTTAATACTTGTAAGAAGAAGGCAGTTGATCTGTTCCCTGACACTGGTGACTTGAAAAAATGGGTTGGCGAGCAGCTTAAGGAAGGAGACTCAAAGTATGGGGGTAGGGTACGACAGATTCCTCGCATGCCCACTTTTTGCAAGGAACTGGATCTGCTGACAGTAATCCTTAGGTCGAAAATTGGATTAAAGCCGAGTTGCCGGATGAAGCTAAGGTCGTTCTGAGAAGGTATATGCAATAATTGTGGTAGTTGCCCGCGTACATGGGCCGGGCGGGCTCACTAGGGTTCTGTGACTAGAGCTATGGATCAAAAGCGATACTTTGGGTTCTATGTCACGAATTTTTGACTTTCAATTGTAGCAAAACATTGCCATAGCGTTTGGTTCTTCCCATGTTCTACTATGTTGTTGCCCCTTGTAACAGGGACTGTACAAGCAAGTTAGCGAGATACCGTAAATTGATAGTTCACTCATCGGTATATATCTATCTGTGCCCTCGGGAGTGGTGAGGTGGTCCAGTGCACCCTAGAGGCCTATTTGAGATTTTTCGGGGGTCATAGGGAGGTCTCCGATGCGAGTGATCCGGTATGGCACCCTATCGGTACCCGTGTGGGTTGAACCTTGGCATCAGGAGCCGCACCAGCAACCTCATTGGCAAACTCTGTTTCACGTTCTTTTCTCCTCCACTTCAATCTTCTGGGGAGTCACCAGAATCGCTACCATGTCGCTGCCCCGATTATCGTTTTTATGCCCGCCAATTCGCCTCAAACGTCCCCCGCTACCAAACGCTGCATTCCCATGGCCTACACCACTCACTCTTCCTCGCTCACCTTACAAATCATTGGCTCTCCTAAGACACCGCCATGGTACAGCTGTGGAACCCATTCCAATAGCCGACGCACCCAAAAAAGATGTTAAATCTAATAGGGAATCTCCGGACCAGACACGCCCGAAGGATGGAGGTGGATCTTTACCCGGGTCCGCCAGGGAAGCGTTAGAACCGCCAATCATATCAACCGAAACCTCCACGGCTACAACGGAACTGGGAGAGGGTGGAAAAGCTGTGGACGTGAATAGGGGTCAACCACAGCCTACTCATCTTGCACCTCCGCCATTCGTCCACCATTTCGATACCTATAGCTTGGCAAAGGGTCTGGAAGGCTCGGGCTTTACTAAAGGGCAAGCGGTTACAGTCATGAAGGGGGTTCGGGGGTTACTGGCGAACAACCTGGACGTAGCCAGGGAAAATCTGGTTAGCAAGAGTAATGTTGAGAACGTATGCAATAACCCCACCGTCGCTAGTGCCGGCTGGCTTGGGAGATCGAGGGTCTGACGGTAGGAGTTCTGGTAGGATTCGTATCTCTTTCACGCTGCTTGCAGTGAGCTGAGAAATGGGATACAAAACGAACGTAAAACACAGATTGACCAGCTTCGAGTGGAGGGTGCTAGCATACAGCAGGAGTTTGACCTTTTGAGCCAGCGATTTCTGGAGGACATCATGAGTTTGAAGGATGAGTTGAACGGACTATTCAATGATAGGAAGATGGTCACCAGAGCTGAGCAGAGGGCCATGGAAAATAAGGTTAGTAGCTATCATTCCCTTTCGTATCGGGGGAGTCACTCACGTTGTGCGGCGCCTGGCTGATAGATCCAAGAGTTGAATTATAAGATCACCATCTTGATCAATTCCGATATGAAATCTGAGATTGAGAAGCTGAGATGGACCACTACCCGCCGTGGGCTCATTGCTATTGGCGCCCTAGCAAGTATGTGCCAAGCTATCCATGTCCGCTATGCCAGTTGGTATGGGCTAATGGAAGCCAGTCTTTGTCGTCGCCTCCATAAAACTTAGTAAAAAGGAAAACGATGAGAAGAAAAGACACAAGGACGCAGCGCCACTAGAGGAGAGGGACGAACGCAGTCACAAGCTGGTTGGCGGAGCGCCCCACGACCACCTTGCCAAGACCTTGGCGAGTTCAGGGCCAGGGGGTTCGGGTGCAAACTATGTATCTCTAGGGTAGATATTGAGGGGGATGGTATTCTTTATTACTCTTCCTCGTCTCTTGGTACCAATATGAGCTTTTACTACCATCATTTTTAGAACAATATTCCCTTCATGAATAGTCACTCGTGGATGAATCAGGATGATGACTTTGATCAAGTGTTGCTTGGGAAGTGTAATTTACCATGGGGCTCCTGAATGAATGCCGGTAATTGACATTGGGATGGGGTGCCTTGGAGATGTTTTCAGAAAAAGACGGCCGTTGCCTGACGTTGGTGGGGACGTTCCGAAATATCTTCAACCTTCGCAAAAAGCACGGGCAGGGCCCGGATCCCCAAGATTCGCTCCGAATTAGGTAGCTCGGGGGTGATACTATATCCGCCGCCATTCTCGCATGATGCCTTTTACGAGTATTATAGGATGGGTAACGAATTTTGAGCTCCCCCGGGCTACCAGTGTGGAGGTGTGAAAACAGAAACCGATTTGGATGGAAAGGAAACGTTTTTTAATTGCTTGTTGATAGGTCATGTTTGCCATCACCCGTGGGGGGGGGGTGGATGGGTGTGCGTGTCTCTCTCTTCTTGCCTGTCATTGCTGTAGAACGGGGAGAGAAAGAGCCTGTCTATATACTCGACCGCCATACGGAAAATATTGAGTGCCAAGACACCAAGAATACGCAACCACAATGCAGTAAACCTATCTGTTGTGCCTTCCCACACTGATATGAGAGTTCCAGTGTGGCATGCTCGGCGGCTCCACCCCGTCGGCGCCCTTTGGGGTTGGTTGGGTAGGGCTATGGATCAAGCGGGCCTCTAATACTGCTATAAGTTGAGTTGCAACGTTCACCGAGAGGCCAGCACAGTATAGCACCAGTAGACTGCTGTATGTGCCGTACCGTACCAGAATATTAACATTCTCTCGGTTCATGCTTGTGTACCCGGGGAGGGATGAAAAGGATCGGAAGAGCTTATGGTAATGGCGAAGTGGGGATTGTGTGGGGTCGGTTGTGGGAAGAAACATTGGGTTGTAGAAATCAGAAACCTACCGTAGACTAGCTGTGCATTGGTGTCTGCTTTTCTTGAAAACTCGAATTTTAAGTGATCCTGAAGGGCTTCTGGGAGGAGCCTGAGGCATCATAATTTAATCCATAGGAGGTGGTTTGTATGAGTATGATGATATTGGGGACAATTTCTGACAGCTAGCCACTGGGCTGGGATGGATATAATCTAAGTACTTGTATTGTCATAGTAGGGAGGAAATGTATTTTGAATACCACCCGATACGGTATCATTATTTCCCTGCTGCAGCCATGGTTACTAATATAAAAGAAGAAAGAAAGAAAGAAAGAAAGAAAAGCAAAGTAGGTTTACGTTCCGACTATACCGGATGAGGAAGTAGCAGGGATAAGTTAACTTTCATTCGGACCTCGGTCCTCCTGTAATATTGAACGGCACGCGGGAAACCTCAGCTCCAGTCGATTATTTCCCCGGACGTTCGGGGAGGAGCCTCGTATTATACAACTTCACCTCGTGCCACTATCATACAACCCCCAGTGTTTTCTAACGCTGTCAATAGCCCTCATAATTCAAATACAAAGCTTGAACTACTCCCCACACCGTATTTCAAATACCGTGCACGCCGGCAATCGAAGCTATGACCGAACCAATTTTGCTCGGGGTCGAGAAGGTTGAGCTATCACCAGAACCCCACCGCAATACTAGTAGCGTCCGGTGGGGCTAACATCAGGGGAAATGATAGAATGTCGCCCTCATCACCCTCAACCGGCCCGAGAAGCTCAACGCGCTAACCGGGGACCTATACTTCGACCTCGCACAGGTAATGCTGAAGGTAGCCGCCATGGAGGAGGTTACAATAACGGTGCTGACGGGAACGGGACGGTGCTTTTCAGCGTGAGATACCCCGCTTGGTTCTCCGGTCCGGCTGGCCACTTAACGACTTGTTGAATGACTGACTCTTGGTGGCGTAAATTGTGCAGCGGAGCGGACGTGTCTTCGACGTTTGATGATGGGAAGGGTGACAATGAGCGGAAACATTTTTTGAGACGATGTATGTTGCCGTGGACGGATATCGGACATGCGCGATGGGTGGGGGCTGACAGGTGGGCGTAGTCGCGGCGAATAATATGGAGGTTACCAAGGCCTTCTTCGAGCACCCAAAGATTCTCGTCGTGGCGCTCAACGGTCCTGCTGTTGGTTTTTCCGCGGCGCTCGTAGCTATGGCAGACTTCGTATAGTAACCTTCCATCCCCTTCCCTCCCTCCCTCCCTCCTGCGACCGCCGCTGAGGCTCACCTATCCCCCCAGTGCCACGGAGGGGGCCTTCATCCTAACCCCCTTCACCTCCCTCGGCCTTGTCGCCGAGGGCGGGTCCAGCTACATGTTCCTCCGGAGGATGGGCATGGCAAAAGCACACGAAGCGCTAATCCTCTCTAAACGCATTCCAGCTGCTGACCTCGTCGCCTGCGGCTTTGTCAATAAGGTTTTCCCGGAAGAGGGCTTCCGCGAGAGGGTTTTGGAGTTTGTGAATGATGCTATGGGGGACCATCTAGTTCACGGGAGTATGCTTGGTGTCAAGAAGCTGATAAGGGATGGTATGAGGAAGGATCTTGAGAGCGCGAGTGTTCGGGAGGCGTTCGCGGGGCTGGAGAGATTTTTGGGTGGGGTTCCGCAGGAGGAGTTTGTGAGTTCCCCTCCCATAATAACTACTTTGTTTGATGGATGGGCGCGTTACTGACGGGGTTGAAGGCGAGGGTCGCGAGTGGGCGGAAGAAGCATAAGCTGTGAGGAGTGAATTTTTGTATGATATCTAGTGGAAGTGGTGGTAGAAGTGTTGACGGAGGGGGAGGGAGCCGGGCGTTGCGTTGCGATACCTGTATTTTACTGCTCTTTGCATCCCAGATGTATAGATTCGGAATCGAGTGCGCGTTCCTATGGAATGGAGATGTGCCGCTGATGGCCTAGATCAAATTGTTTGGCTCCGGAGGGTCTCCATTCGATACCGAGATTTTCAGACTAAGTGATGGCTTCTACGGAAGGCACGGTATAGAGGATCGGCCCAAATTCGTGAAAGCATTCTGAATATGATACCATAGCTTCATCACACCGTACAAGAGTTAACCAACCAACCAATCCAAGCACCACACTAAGCTCCCAACACCCAATGACCCCCGAATCACAAAAAGAAACCCCCACGAACCCCTAGACTACCGCTCTTCACATTGGCGCCGTACTATTTAACATACCTGGAGAAGTGTCCAGCCGAAGAAGTGAAAGAAACAACCTTTAGCAGCCCAAGTAGGGGGG